ACTTGGCCGTCCATTGAAACTGTATGAGCGCTAGGACGCTTTTTGTTCGTCAAAGTACAGTACTGTGTTTTGGAAGCATTGAACTGTACAAGATTGTTGCGTCCCCAAGCAGTGATAGCCTCCAGGTCTCTTGTCAGAGAAGAAGTCGTCGCTAGTCTTCTTTTTTCCAGCTCAGCGGCAGAGATCGGCTTGTCACTCTGAATTCCTGCATGTAGAGTGCTGGCATCAGCGAAGCTGTGGATTGGGTTGATCGTGCAGGAAAGGAGGTCGTTGATATGTAAGAGAAACAGTGTTGGAGCCAAGACCGATCCCTGGGGAACACCCGCGTTGACATTGTGGGATGAAGAGGAGAATCCGTCAATTACGACGGATATCTTGCGGCCAGAGATAAAGTCAGCCACCCATCTGCAAAGCTTTTCTGGGAGGCCATAGGATGGAAGTTTGCTTAAGAGGGCAGCGTGCCACAGCTGATCGAACGCTTTCGTGATGTCAAGAGCAACGACATGAGCCTCACCATGAGACTGGATGAGTTTACTCCACAGTTGTGTGACGTAAGCTAGGAGGTCCCCTGTGGATCGTTGGTGCCGGAAACCGTACTGCCTGTCGCTAATCAAGCTGTGACGTTCGAGGTAGTCCAGAAGCTCGTGATTTATGCACCTCTCCATAACTTTACCTATAACAGAAAGCAGAGCTATAGGCCTGTAGTTGTAAGGGTCGGTCTTAGATCCTTTTTTTGGGATGGGCTGTACATGAGCAAATTTCCAGTTTTCTGGGAAGGTGCCGGATTCATAAGATATCTGGAAGAGACGCGAAAGAACTGGAGCAAGCTCCGCTGCACATCTCTTCAGTACAATGGCAGGAATCAAGTCCGGACCAGAAGCTTTGTTGATGTCGAGCGACAAGAGCACTCGTCTTACGGTCTTATGCCTGAATGTTACCTCCCGCATAGTGTGGGGAACCCTTTGAATTGACGGCACTTGGGCGTTGGTGAGGACGTCCATGGTGGAGTTGGCAGCAAAGATCTTGGCTAGCACTTCCGCCTTGGCCTTTGAGTCGAATACAATAGTTCCATCCTGATACGTAAGTGGTGGAAGGCTACTGTGTGAGAAGTTCTTTTCAATCTGCTTGGCCAGCGTCCAGAAAGACCGACTGCCATTGCGCTGCGACATTACCCTGTGCCTAACTTTTATATCATGCAGGTTTTTGGCATTGCGAACCGCATCGTTCTATTTGTTTCTGGACTCGACGTCGGCTTGTCTGTTCTCTACAGTGGGGTTTTGTAAGTAGGTTCTGTGTGCCTTGATCTTCTGCTGGCGAGCAGTGTCACACGATTTGTTGAACCAGCCGTTGGACCCTGGTTTAGGAACTTTCACTGTATGTGGGATGTATTCCTCCATTTCGTCGTGGATAATTTCGGTTATTGAAGAACAGACAGTCGACGCATCCGCGTCAGTGAAACAGACATCTCTCCAAGGAAAGCTAGAGAAGAAGTCTCTGAGCCCCTCCCAGTCGGCATGTCCGTAATGCCAAGTTTTGCGGCCTGTGCGAGTTTCTGCTGCCACAGCGGCTTCTGACCGAAACCTCACCTCCACAACACCGTGATCTGAGTTACCCAGGGGGGACAGGACAGCAGTGCTGTAAGGGACAGGGTGCGTGGTCAGAAACAGATCCAGCAGGCTACTGGCGTGTGACGAGACGCGGGGGAAAAAAGTAGGGCTCGTCACCAGCTGGGTCAGCCCTTGAGTAAGAGCGAACGCTTCGACTGCACTACCTGCTGCATCGGTCTTATTTGAGCCCAACCAAAGCTCGTTATGGGCATTGAAATCACCGAGAAGAACTACCTCTGAAGCGGGGTGATTGATGTTCAGGAAGTCGATCTGGACGGCGAGGTATTCGAGTAGGTCATCCCAGTTATGGTTCGAGGGAGAGCGATAAAGGCAGCAAATAAATTTGGGTGATGTTTTGGAGTTGAGGCGAAGCCACAGAATGTCCTTCCGGTCTGATTCCAAAGAAAGATCCCTGGAGCAGGAAAGACTGCTGCGGACAAAAGCCACAACTCCCCAGTTCTTTCTCAGATTGGAGTGCACCTCGTAGTTTGGGAAGTTGAGATGGTTAATCGGTGCAGTCTCTGAGATTTTTTGTCTCCGCCAAGAAAAGCACGGCGGAACGATTGGATTGCAGGTAGTGATGAACAGCATCAATGTTGCTGTTGATCCCGCAGATGTTCGAAAAACAAATTTTATCTTCGATGTTGTTCCCTCGAGCCCACCCTCCACCCGGACATTCCGAGAAGTTTCGGTTATATACAGGGTAATCCGGTCTGCAGATATAATTTGGTATTTATTACTGATATTTGTTCGACTAATAATGAGCGAGATACAACTTTAAATCATTATTTATTTATTTATTAAATAATGACAAAGTCCGACAATAGCGAATTTTACCTTCCAGAGGATTTTTGATGCGCTGAATCTGAATACAAATCTCTCAATTGCCTCTGATTTCCGAGATATTCTAACCCAAAAATGCGATGTTTGCCTATGTTTGAGGTGACGTAGCGTGACGCATTATTAATTTTTTCCAAAAATAGTAGACATCATCTAAAAGTGCAACCCTTGCCCTTTCAAATGCCGTTACGGTGTCTCAAATTTTTGTTCTTTCCCTGAGATATAGCACTTGAAATTTTCAGTTTTTTTAACTTCACTATATGTGGTACCCCCCACGTTCAGCATTTATCAGCAAAAAGTAATCTTTATTTAAAGAAGTGTGTATTCGAAAGTAAGAACGTTAAACTCGACCTTGATAGAGTAGGGTAGTGGGTTGTGGGCTTGGGGTTTTGATAAGTTTTAGATATTTTATGGATTTAGTGTTGAGGGTGTACGTATGGAAAAATACATTAACTTGTTGTTATTTTTTCGGTGCGATAACGTATGTCCTAAAAGTTTTGGCACAAAATATTCATCGGATTTTTTTTAATGAAGAAATTTATTTAAACACTAACTAGTTACCATAAATTACAACTCAATACTTAACTAAACTATACTATCGAATTATGTAGAGTTGTCCATTTTGCTCTACCAAAAGCAACTTTCTTCGAATGTCTCTCATGAGATCCTGGACGGAATTCAGATCAATTTCTCTCAGTTTTTCGTAAATTCGCCGCCTTAAGGCGGCTCCGACGCAGTGAGTTTCAAGCCATTTACAAGGGTTCGGCTGCTTCAAAACTGAAACTCCATTTTTCAATATTATTGAGAATGAAATTCAAACAGTATGTTGAGAAGATAATTGCACAGGATGCTGTAGGAGCACTTTTTGAAATTTTGTTTTTGCACAAGTTTTATGATGGGTTGAAGTGCGCACTTCTTCTGTTCATCTTCGCGATTTTTTTAAAAAGAACCTAGTGAAAAAAATTAAAAAGTGGCTCTATAGCACCCTGTGGGGTTTTGTTTTCAGCACTCTGTGAAAATTTCATCCAAAAATATCAAAAAATAAAGCGTCAATTTCAAAGAGCTCAAACCTCTACAAATCGTATTTTGGACAAATTTTGCCTACTGTTTCGTGCTGCCAAACCAAGCGTTGCGCCGCAATGTACGGACTAAGAAAGGACGTATTCAGATAATTTGGTGGCCCTATTTCATATAATGTCACGTAGATAAGTCGTTCTACAAATAGGTACTCATAATCGCGATCGCTGATACTCCTCGATTTTAAAGCCGTTTTACTTCCCACGTTATTGGGAGGCCTATGCGGATCCAATAGTTGATCCACATTTTCCTTCTCAAGGCCTTAGGCTATTGTTGGTGACCAAATCTGTCTTATAACATCATTAAGATTATACGATTGCTTTTTACATGTGTCAGCGTGAATACAAAATGCCTTCATAATGCACTCTGGGAGTTGCTCTACCGCATTCTCAGTGTCAGCCATTTGCAAATGTGTGTCGTCTTGAAGCACGAGCGTGTTTAGATCATCCGTTTCCGGTTTGTCTGTAGTCTGGTTTGTTGCCAGACAGTGCGATGTCGGGCTTCCACCACTAGCTACACTCACCGAGTCGTACGAGGCTCGGTTCATGCTACGTAGCCCTATTTCGTCCGGTAAATGTAGGTGGGAAGTTGGGCTGTTCAAAGCTCGACGCTCTCTCGATGTATTTCTAGCGCTTAGATATCGTTCGGAAGTCGGGGTGTTCAAAACTCGACGTTTCCTAGATGTATGGTCATGGCTACGCTCCTCCGAATCTGGTCCCCCCTTCTTTTCTTCGAAGTACGGCTCTGTACCTAAAGATCGACCTCGCGAGGGCGAGCGGAACCTCCACGGAAAAGCGCTCCGACTGTGCTGATGTGGTTGCGACCTACGGTCTCGCTAGTGCCCTTTAAGTCTATCGCGGAGCTCATCAATTGTTTTTTGCATATCACTATCTGGAATGGCTTCTCTTGTGTTTTCCCAAGCTATAAAACAAGCCCTGTAGGAAGTTATCTACTAAAAACTACTTTAATATGATTAGTAAATTAATAAGCATGTTATTATTATAAATTATTATTACTGTTTTTATATATTACCGTGGAATTAGTGTTTCATTTACTATGATGATTTATACGTGAACAAAACAAAAATAAATGATAATTTTGGGACACTTTGAATGTTCTCAAGTTATGACTAGTATTACCATACCTGTAAGCAGTGGCCACAGCGTTCGAATAATCTCGATTTTTCGTCTTGTTGGGAGCGAGGCACTGACACAAACGTGTGAACGCGACTCACACATAAAACAGAATGAGTCAGCAAGCGGCAGGTACAGCGTACAGCCGGTTACAGCGGGACTCGGACGGCGGCGAGCCTTGTAAACATCTCCACGCTTGCGCTATACTAGTCATCTTATGGTGGCTTCTCACTACGCGTGCTACTACGCGTCGCGCCGCTCCACGCGCAAGAACACGCCACGCGACACGCCGCGCCACCCGTTTGTGCGGCGCGGCGCGGCGCGTGCCTTCTGGCTTTACACCTCAGTTTGATTCAGTCTGTTTAGCGCAGCGCACTATGTCTTGTGAGTCGAATTGCCACCTCCAGCCATGGGCCATCACATTATAAAATGGCCAGTCAGGCTTATAGATTTCATCAGCACCGCTGCCAGACTTTATTGATTGGCAAACTTTACTTCTTAATTTTCTATAGGTTCCCATTAAAGAATCCCTTTTCTTTTTAATTTCTTGTAACGGTATGGTACCACCTTTTAAATTCTGTTTAATTCGCAGCCAGGCATCATGCTGGTCGTTTTTGTTTTTATGCTCCGCATTTTTCGAATTCCACAGAGAGGGTTCGCCTTCATACAAAGTTAAAAATCCGGCGATCGTTTCATTCGGCCACTCCATATTCACCACAGTACCTCAACGTAGGACGAGTCAAAATGAAATGAACGAGTTCAATCGTGTTCGTCTGTCTGGGTAGGTACACGCCGCGCCGCGCCTTTGAAGTTACCGACTTTTAGCGGATAGATCGCGCCACGCCGCGCCTGCCCGCGCCAAGCTCTTCACACTGCGCGAGGCGCGTGCCGGCGCGGCGTGGCGCGGGTCAACACGCGCAGTGAGAAGCCGGCATTAAAAATGTGTGGCGCGCCGTACGCAGGGGCGTACTACCTTAGTTAAATTCATCTTCAGAATGGACCTGAGATATAATAGTAATAATAATAACCATAATAATAATAATAACAATAATATTGTTGCCTATTTTACCTTTTATGATAATAATATTAATGTTTATTGGTCTAAGTACAAAATTTTCGTATAAATAATAATGGTAGTGTCCAATAAACTTAAGATACCCAAAAAAGTGCACACTTGTGCTTGTATTTTAACCGAACTTGAATTATAATAATAATAATAATAATAATAATTTATTCACATCATTTACAAATTGTGGATAAATTGATATACCACAAAAAAATATCCTTTTATGTGGATATCATTCTAACACATCGTACATATAACATAGTAGTTGCAATAAATTGGTTGTACTAAGAGGTTATACACAAAATGATACAAAAAATTTCCTATAAGTATACTAGTCAAATATATAAATTTGTATCAACTTATGATTGAATAACCATATCGATTTTTAATGTCTACAAGCTTATGGATTTGCAGCCCTGGTTGATTCAGGGTCCATCAGATTAATTCAATTTTAAAACGTTTTTTTACATTTTATATGTTTAAAGTTTGCAATAATAACTATGTAAAATTTTGAGCATAGAAAGGAGAAAGATCTTTGGCTGATAGTCTTACTTAGTCTGGGGATAAGTGCAGATGCTTCCTTGAATCGCGTTTGACACGGCTGACAGAATGTAACAATTTTGGATTTTTTGTTAAATATATTATTGTATGATAAAAATATATTTGCTGGCAGTTGAAAATTTGAGATTCACTGTAATGACTTTCTGTGGGGTAAAATGTCTTTCTGTGCAACATAACCTTTAAAATCCAATTCTGCGTAATTTTTTTATGATAATTATTCATGATTCCCGCCTCTATGCTAAGATTCATTGACTATACAGGGTGACTTTGAAGTTGAGTCATTAATTTTCAGATAATGATTGTAGAAGGAAGATGAACCAAAATATGTGTGTAAAAATAAAAAAAAAAATAAAAAAAATGTTTACCTTGTTTTATAAAGTATCCTCCCGACAAGTATTTCAGTGCGGACCTGTATTTGATCGTGAGGTCCCCTGTGAGGTCTTAAGTCACCTGATTCACGAGCCCGTTGTACTACATTAACAAAGGCACGAGGGGTTGGTTGCACTCGATTGGGAAACCGATCCGCATAAACATGTGCCATTTTTTATTTCGTTTGAGCCACGCAACAGACACTATTCACGCGCGTTACCGACTGACATTGACTGTATGTATAACTGAACTGAATAAAATAATTGTAAAAACATCGTTCCAAATTCTTTCGCTTTTTTGTTTCTGATGCGATGAACCGATAAGGCGGATTATATCCGTTGTTGCCAAACACGAGCACATGATATTATTATTGAGACAGGGCGGTACTCAAACTTCCAAAGGGCTATAACTTTGTTACTTTAATTTTACCAGAAAAATGGTAAAGGAAAAAAACATTTCTTTTGATCAGATCTACTCACTGTTAAAATAAATGACTCAACTTCGAAGTCACCCTGTATAATAGCTATCGTTACCTACTACATTTCGCCTGCGGTTAAGTAAATATTAGACGGCATTCTTGTAAAACTCGGTTTGGATTTGGAGAAGTCACTTATGTATGTACTGTTGCAACTGCGGTTCATCTTAAAAGCTTTTATCTTGTAAATGAAAAAATATATGTTTTGTTCTTTTGTTTCAGCGACACCATTTTGGTGTCTACTGGATATCGTGCCGATCAAAAATGAGAAACGAGAGGTTGTTTTGTTTCTCGCCTCGCACAAAGACATCACGAACACAAAAATGGCAGAGATGTCCGAGAGTGAATTGTACGATAGTGGTGAGTTCATCCAGTTATGTACTTCGAAAAATTTATAGAAAGCGTTTAAGCACTATCCAAATATGAAGTAGAGACCAGCTTAACAAACATGTTTAGGTGATCGGCAAACGGTGAAAAATATATCAAACTGCATTAAAATATCGAAAGTGGCATTAGAGATCTCAATAATATAGTGACCTAGTTTTGAAGAGTTTATCGGTTTGTGCCTAAAAAGTTAAGACGTTGAGGACAAACGTTTATATAATTTTTTTTATTAAAATAATTCAAAGATCTCCCCCTAACTATTGACATTCAATTAGGAAGCACCCTAGTTAATGTAATTTCTCTGTGAAACTAGCAAACCAATGTATCTAAGTTGCATTTGTTGAAATCTTTTACTAAGGAATATCATCTGGAATCGACAAGTTTTTAAATTTAGCTGCATACGATATATAAATAATGTCTAACAAGAAAAGAGAGAAAGAACCATCTGGATATCTTAATAGGTCCCGAAAAGTGGTTTCGGTTAATTTCGCTGAATGTTTTATATGCTATGTGTGTTGGTGTTTTGAAGAAATGTCTCAGTTGACACAAAACCCCAAAATTCATCAAATCTCAAAAGTAGAACTGATACCCCATTATACTTAGACGTCTATATGTGGAGGCCCCTTGAGTTTTGGAGTTTGTGCCGTGTGACATATCTGATCAGGATGCCAAAATACATGAAATTTCACAAATTCTGTCATTTCAATTGAAACCATTTTTCTAGATAGATCAGATAGCTGAGCACACCCCATTAGGTATACTGATTTAGACGGCCTATATCTTGGGACCAGTTGACTTTTGGAGTGTATGCCCATTAGAGCATTTGTTCAGGACACCGAGACACATAACGTATAAAAAATTCGGAGAAGATAACCAAAGCCACTCTTCCACGTGACGCAGCGAAGTAGGGCAGATACCCCATTATACAGACTCGGTACCCGTTGAGGTTTGGGGGCTGTGTTTATTGAGACATTTGTTAAGACGCATCACATATAAGAAATTTAGGTACTTTGAGAGAGTGATTGCATTCTCTATTTCGCGCCCTGCAGCTCATCGCATTACATGCATCGGTCAACGCACCAGTGTTGCCAGATCTACCGATTTGTCGGTAGATCTACCGATTTTAGTTCTATGCTATCGAACCAGCGATTTTAATACGAAGTCTACCAAGAAACTTCTCAAATAGTAGAATTTGATACAACCTTCGGCTCTTCAATTTTCCAAATAGCTGCATTTCAGCATTTAATGCTACCCCCTCCCCCCTTTCACTCGTAAATTTTCAAAACCGAGAGTAGCTCAAGCAAAGGCCCTTCAATTTTCAATCACCGGCAAGGCTTTGTTTTTTGGTTTAATGTCCACCGAAATCGACAGAAAAATTTCGCACAAGTCTACCGAAAACAGGTGGACTATTTACACCTGGCAACATTACTCAAGATATAGAGTTGCACGTGTTTTACCGTAAAATGTACAGTCTATGAAAATCAAAAGTTCGTCAATTTAGGCCTAACAAACAACGCCAGATATTTGTTTTTAAAAGTTCCGTTACATCTTGCCAGTCCGTACATTAAATGCATATCAGAATATTCATCAAACGTATACTCCACGATTTTTAACAACTTATGTCAAAGTAAAATTATTCATGAAGCTTAAAGCAATATTATGACAAACATTAGAAACCATAGCAACGCTGCTCAGATATTATTCAAAGCAACTTGATTATTATGTTATAAAAATGTTTCATCATTGTACAAATGATGCATTGGAACCTTTAAAAACAAATATCTCGAAAACCATTAGCTTTAGACACTTCTAACATATTAACCTTTTTTGTTGTGGAAATACGAGAAAATAAGAGTTTTTGGTCAGCTGTTGTATACAGGGTAGCACAAAAAGTTATGATAAGTTATTTACCGAGATATCGCTTCAAGTGGCGCCCTCTAGAAGTTTGGTCATAAAAAATAACGGATTCTTATCTCTCATACTAGAAAATTTCCCTATACCAAGTTTTATGCCAAAATCTGAAGTACTTCTCGAGCAATAAGGAAAAATAGAAAATAAAATCGTAACTTTGACACCCTGTATCTAGCAAACTATCAACTTTTGGACTAAGGTATATTTAGGTCAATTCACATATTTTGGTCTGTAGTATCTCCAGTTTAGATATTTTCCAACCTTTCGCAGTATAATCCGAGTGTGTTCCAATGTTGCCCCACATCAAAAAATGCTTAGTATCTATAACCTACTCATGGGTTTTGATTATTATTTATGATGCTAATGGGTATTTTACAAAAAAAACACCAAAGTTCCTCGATCTTCATATCTGCTGTCTTGACAGTTTGAGTTAGTGTAGGCATATAGGCCTATTGATTAAAAAGTAGAATTTCGCAGACTTGACCACGACTATAACCTTCAAGGTCATGCAAAGGTCAAGTTACTTCTTTTACATGAGACACTCCATTTTTCATCACGGAAATAAAAACAGCGGAACATTCCACATTCATCTACAGTAGTTGAGGGGCCCATGACCATTTCCAATAATAAATATTGACCATGTCCGTTGCGGTTGAAGTTAATATCTACATTGACCATTGATAGTAACAGGTCACTTGTTTCAAGAGTAACTTTATTTGACCATGACCATAAAGATAAAAGTAAATATTTCAGGGAATTTTTGAAATCACAGGTATTGATAACTTTCGATATCATGCTGATTGATCCGTACTTCGTACCTTTCAATAAGAAAGTCAACCGATATTTTCGTGTTCTATTACTTTAAGTTTCAACGAGATTTTCTTGTAAATACTTCTCTAGTTCTTTGTTTGCCTTGTTTGTTTTTTCCAGTTTTTAGTTTTGATGATCAGTATGATCAATCCATTCTCCTATATTTTATAGATATTTGAAAATGATCATTTGAAAACATATTGTAGTGCAGACAAAGAACATATCACTTCCGTGTTACGCGAGCTGAAAAAGATTTAGCCTAATGTGAATATCAGATCGCATATTGATGTATGAACTTATGGTCGGCTAGAGTTGGTATTGAAAGGTAGGAAGCACGGATGTACGAGCATGATATCGAAAATAATCGATATTTAAAAGTTGCCTGAAAGTCTTAGCTTATGGTCACGGTCAAATAGATTTACTCTTGAAAAGAAGTGGCTTGCCGCTGATATGATCTTGATGTTTGAGGTTAAGGTTAATCATTATGAAGCTCGTGATCAGTAAAAAAATTAACTTAACCTCAACGGTCATGGTCGAGATTGGGACATTCGACTACTGTAGATGAATGTGGATTGTCCCAGTCTTTTTATTTCCGTAGTCAAAAATGGAGTGCCTCATCGAAAAGACGTGACTTGACCTTGACATGGTCGTGGTCAAATATGGGAAATTCTCACTACCTAATGTCACTGTCAAGACAGCAAATATGTAGATTGTCAAACTTTGGTGTCTTTTTTCAGATAAAGTACTCAATTACCAAATAACTAATAATAAACCCATAAGTAGGTTATATCAATCTTCTTCTTTGGGCTTCTTTGTGTAATAAAAAGTACGGCCTTCAATTTAAAAAAAATGTGTTTAATGTAGGGCAAAATTGGGACACCCTGTATAATTGTGAGTATTTCAGAAATGTGCCCTCGGAAAACATGTATAATAACCTATAGATAGTTTTCCTCGATAATTTTCATTTAGGAGAGATACTGTGCGTTAGACGCGTATGTCCTGGAAACCCTCCATAAGATTGCTAAGAGCCCATGATAACATTTGATTAGGATGCTCTGTTCCCAAAGCTTGAAGATTCACCGGAGACTGATTTCCGTATGATTTCTGCCCCCTCTTTTCCTTCAAAAATTTTTCCAAGCAAATCCAAATAATTAGTTCTTTCGCTAGTAGACATTCCGAACAAAAAAAGGTCCTCAGTAACGTTGACTGTTTTCGAGCTATAAACCATCATTTAATGTCTGAAAAACTCTATGGTCATCTGCAATGCTTGAAATCTCAGTTATTATTTTTTAGTTTGCCGAGCATCTGAAGTAAAGCTAAGAGTGTTTTAAGATTCATTTAATTTGAAGCTTGTCTGCTCGGCCTAAATTGTCAAACTTTTGGTTTTCGCAGACTACTATAGATTGTTTGACAATCTTTGCAATTTCAATTATTGTGTGCAGTACCTGTCGTAATATTATAAAATTTTCCTTCATGATCAGATCTATCTCAAAAAGAAGTAAATTTTGATGTACTCATAAGATTTTTATACTTTATTATAGCACCCATAAAACTTATACGTACTAAAATATACATTATTGTCTTCGCTGTTATGGGCCAAAGGATGGAATATTTTAAGGTACTTAATTTTTAAATTTAAGTTTTACGTTGATTAACGGCTCCTGTGAGTTTTATGAATGAACATCCTATAAATAATTTATTCCTAATAAAGTTCAGTGATATAGATTTAAGCTTGCATGTAGATACTGATAACTTCCATATCCTTGAAAAAGGATTAAAAAACGGTTTGTTTATTGTACACCGTTGTTATTTGCATTTTTTGATAATCTTTATTTACCTGTCAGTGAGTTAATGCTTGATGTTTGGACCCTTTATACTGCGATTCATAACAAAAATAAAAATGTTTCTAACAATGGCACAACACCTCGTATGAAAATGTTAATTCATGCTCTGCTCATTCATTTTTCTCGTCAATTTAATTTCTACCATCAATTCTGTAGCTTTTATTTTTACTTGGTTGTTACAAATAGCGATTCATGTAATATTCCTATTGATACTAGCTTCATTTTTAATATACCAGTAAGTGATGCACCCTTATATCAAACTCAGTCACCGGAATGATTTAATATAAATGAAAAATGCTTTGCAAGTTCATATCCCCTGCACAACAATACATGTGGCATGTGACGAGGGTCGGCTTACAAGCTCCTAAGCTTTTGTGAGAATTTATATAATATCTACGCTGAAAACCGGCTGACAAAACACGCTGACAAAAAATTAAATTAGTTACACTTTTAGATATGTAAATCGGGGATTGTCATAAAAGCGTTGTTTTTACACAATATTAGGTGACCAAACAAAGCACCCCTGAATTACCATCAAGTGGAGATTTAAGGCTCTCTAGTACCCCCTTATTTTCATATGTAAAACATGAATTCACATAACTCAAAATAGAGCGCTTAGTGAAGATAATCGCTGATCGATTTTTTTCAAAAGCGTCTTAGTGGAACAATATGTCGAATTCAAAAGTGTACATTTTTTTTACTTGTGCGGTGAAGAGAACTAGTAATGTATTCAATTATTGTGTAGTAAATAATAAAACAAAGTCCTTCCTAAATGCTAAATAAAGAAACAAAGCTGAACGAAAGTACTTCAAATCCAACTCTAAGTAGGGTGATACAATCAATGTGATGTCTGACATTGTTTTTGTTGTAATCATTGTTTTTTCTTAATGTACTTGTTTTGTAGGAATAGGTGCAACCATTAGGAAATAAACAGCTACAGAAAAGTAAAATTTGTTTTCAGCAGTCATCAGTTTTTCTTGGTGGAAGATGGAATAAAATACCCCAAGAATACTCAATGATTTTATTCTTCCCCAACAAAATCTCCCAGAACTTCATATCCCCAAAGATTCCACAAGGGAAACAAAAATCCCCCAAATTTGTGGGAAAATCCGTCAATATGACAACCCGAGTAGCGGCGTCAGCCACTCACAAGTATATATTATACCTGTCCATCATCATCTTTGTGTCAGCGTTGCCACTTCTCCGACTTTTAACGTAGGCTATGGAATTTCGTTTTCCGTTGTTGAATGCGAAATCATTTATTGTTTGTTGATGTCATGTTCAAAAACAAACAATTCGACGTGGCGCGGCTGCAACAAGAGTAGCAATATCGCCGCCGTGTCGTCTAGTTCCCGTGTTTGGATCTTTGCCCTTCTTCTTTAACTTAGTGAAGGAATCAACGTACTGAAGACATGCCCATTCACTGACTCAGAAATGCACATCTTGCTACAATTCTCAAGGTCGCAGTGGGTACTGGGGATACTATTTCTAGATAAACCAAAGTCCAAATGTTCAAATTCTTGAAAATTCCGGAACTTTTGAAATTCCTCAGAATTTTGAAAATAGTAAGTTTGAGTATTTTTTAACAAATTGAAAATTTTTAGACTTTCGAGAATGATTTTTTGTAAATTGTCAAAATTTTTAAATACTACAATCCAGAAAAAATTTTATTATATCGGCAATTACAACCAAGAATAATTTGAAATTTTTTACCATTTTAAAAATTTCGATAACAAACAATTCGGTAGCTCGAACGGCAACATCGCTACCGTGTCGCGTAGTTCCGATGCTTGGACATCAACAATTCTCCTCTTTCGCATACTGAAGGAAGCAGAAGAAAGGGAACTGTAGACACGCCCCTTGACTGATTCGGCAATTCACATCTCGCTACTATTCTGGTTGCGCAGGGTACAGAGGATCCTTCACATTTCACAGTAGTCAATAACGTTTTCAAAATTTGTCGCATTTTTTATCCTCCAAATTCAGATTTGAAAATTTGGAAAACTGAGAATCTTGGAAATATTAGATATTTAAAGGATTTTGACAATTTGATCCCGTTCCAGAAATTTAAAAAACTAAAATACAAATTTTCAAATGGAAATTTCACAAACTTTTGAGGTCATGAAAACTGTGTGTGAAAATGTGAATTTTGAGTAATTTAAAAATTTTCTGAAATGGTATTTTTTTAAATATTTGACAATGCAGAAGATTTTGATTATATTGGAGATATAAAAAAATCACGAATATCTTGCATAATTTTGAAAATTTTTAAAACAAACAATTCGGCATTCCGTAGCGACAACGGAGAGCGGCAACACCGCCAGCGAGTCGCCTAGCTCCGTTGTTTGGACACACTGCTCACTGGAGGAAGTAGAAGGAAGAGAACTAAACTTAGCCCTTAAACGATTCGGAAATTCACATCTCGCTATAATTCTCAAGGTCGCACTGGGTACTGGGGAGCCATAATTTTTAAAACTTAAATCCAAGATTGTCAAAATTCATAAATACATCAAAATCCTCAAAATTTTGATAGCATTTAAATTATTACAAATTTTTTAAATTACTGATATTTAAAGATGTTCAGTGCCTACTTAGAACACTGAAAACGCTTGTCAAAGACTATAAAATTTGAAAATCATGGAAGTTGTGAAAATCTTAATTTTGAGTACTTTTGAAAATCTCGACATTGTTATATATTTGACAATCCATAACATTTTGGTTATATCGAAGGTATCGAAAATTCTAAAAATCATGAATACTTATTTTGAAATTCGTACGATTTTAAAATTTTGTTAAATCAAACAGTTAGGGATGAATGACTTACAAATGTACATCTCGCTCCAATTTTCTGGTCGCACTGGGTACTGGGGTGCCGTGACATTTGCATTTACAGCAGTCTATAATAGGTGTCATTACAGGTTTTCAATATTTGTCGAATTTTTAAAAGTTAAAAAATTCAATTGTTGGAATTTCGAAAACTCAAACCCAAATTTGCAAATGCTTAAAAGCTTCAAAAATTTGGAAATGCATAAAAATTTTGAGAATATCGGAAATTAAAAATTATTGAGATTTTTAAAATTTTGAAATATATGAAAATCCTCAAAATTGTGGTAGCTCTAAATATATTGCAAATTTTGAAAATTATTGATATTCGAAAATGTTCATTACCTACTTAGATAACTAAAATTCCTTGAAGTTGTCAAAATTTTGAAAAGTATAAAATCCTCACAATCTAGATGACAATGAAGACATCGCAAATTTTCAAGATCACGAATATTATTAAATATCGCATTTTTTTTAAATTCCAAAATTGGCTTTTGCTCACAGTCTGACTAAAAAAATTGTTTGACGTGGTGTTGTCAGCTGCGGTGTTGGGCGCCCGTTTCCGGTGCGGTGCTGACTCTTGCCTCCTTGCAGACGCCAACGGGAACCTGGAGGGGGCGGAGGATGGAGGGGAGGGGGATGAAGACCACCCTCCCGCCAACTACGGCAGGAGGAGGTCGAGGGCGGTGCTCTACCAACTGTCAGGGCACTACAAGCCGGACAAGATGAAGACTAAGCTGAAGCTGAACAATGTGAGTATGGCTTTTTTGTATCTGTACCTTCATTAAGTCTGGATTCGTCATGAAAACCGCAGAATTAAAAAAGCTATATAATGCAAAAAACGACAAAATGCCAACTTGCTGACCAGATACCTGCTAGTATACAGCTTAAGTCTCCAATAATGACATCTTTGAACCAGATGTTACATCATATCAGAGCCAAACTATGATAGCTCAAACGTCATGACGTTTAAGTGTCACGTACGGCAAAACACCCACTGGACATGGAGTAAACAACAGATAATTCCAAGTTGATATCTTATAGCAAAACCTGTACAATATCACAAAAATCTATATAATATCAAAAAACCGTCATGATGCTACTTTTCAAGATACGTAGTAACTCCTACCGCACTGGTGTAGGTGGTACGGTTACCTAGACATTTTTTCACGCTGAATTCCCTGAACTTGCGCAAAAATATCGTTATAAGTTTTTTGTTTGTCGGGATAACAGTAAACAAACGTCGTTGGATTTTGTAATGCATGCTTAATGAGAGCAAATAAGTGATTCATATAAATTTGTAAAGTAGCAATGTAAAAAATCAATAAATTTAACAATCAATCCTAAAGTTTTTAATCCGTTGTGATTTTTGACAGACGGCTATGTGCATTTGATAAATTTTAACTACTGCTACCATGGATCCAGTTTTCATCAGGCTATTCAGTGTTCTCATTGACTTAGTTGATAACATTTAGTAACAATCTCACCTACTTTTCTCCTGATTATTGCAAGTTTCATCGAAAGCTAGAAAATAAAGAAATAAGAGTACAATTTGCTCCAATTTGTACCCAACTAAGGCTAGAGCTTTTTGTTGCCTAACTAGTTATTTAGACGACAATGACCACGGCTCACGATATATATATATATATATATATATATATATATATATATATATATACAGGGTGGCCCATCCATGTGTGGGCGGAATATTACTAATAAACAAATAGATTTTAAGAAAATCCATTCATGGAATGCTATACATGACATTTAAGGGCACATTTATAAAATATTGGTGTCCCAATTTTGAGCTACATATAAAGTTGTGATTTTTTAAATGGAATGCCTCATGTTTTATTACATATTTGGATAAACCAATTCAAAAGAGGAAGACTGATATAACATACTATGGGATTTTGGTAATTAGCTACTGAGATATAAGGTGTTTTGTCCAGAAAAACCGTCCAATTCGGCAACCCCTCCATCCGCCATTTTTAAATTTGGAGTACTGAATTTTGCATCAAAAAAAACTTAAGCACCTCAGCTTTTATCCTATTTATTACTTGTTCGAATTTTCATTTTTGCTCATACAGGGTGGTTAAAAACGCGAATTGTACATTTTATCAAAAGTTTCAAATGCATCACCCTGTATATTTGTGCAAGTTTGAATTCAGTTTTCTATAAGCTTCTTTTTGGTATAAGGTTTGATTCAGATAAAATCACTAGATTTTGAGTTATTAATCTTTTAATTGAACAACACACCAAAATTAAGGAAAAAAATAATGGAAACAAAAGACAAACAGTCGGCTAGTTCCATATTGCCACTAAGAGTACAGATTTGAGATAAAAACTAATTGCAATCAGAATAGTATGAGTTAGCTTCAAGCGTAATAGAGAAAAACAACTATAACAACAACATAAACAAATAGCTCAAGACCTAATCTACAAAAACTGTTCGAAAATATCTCCACCATATTGAATACACAGAGGTAGTCCTTGGATGAATGACCGTTGCACATCCCTCAGCATATGTGCCCTTATGTTCAGAAAAGCATCCTTAATCCTTTTCTTCATATTTCTCCGGGGAAGATGGTGGATATCTATAAACCTCTTTCTAAACGTAGCCCCATACAAAGAAGTCCATCGGTGTCACATCTGGTGATCTAGGAGGCCAAGATATAGCCCCGTCATGACCGATCCAACAACTGTTACTCCAGGTGTCCAAATAGTTACGCACACGATTATGATAATAGTAAGATAAAGAAGTACATAACATATGCATCCGAGTTTACAGGTTGACATCCTCCAAAATCAAATCTGTACTCTTAGTGGCAATATGGAACTAGTCCACTGTTGGTCTTTTGTTTCCATGGATGGTGTGATTTTTTTCCTTAATTTTGGGGTGTTGTCCTATTAAAAGCTTAATAACTCAAAATCTAGTGATTTTATCTGCATCAAACCTTATACCAAAAAGAGCTTATAATATACAAAATAAAAAATTGAATCCAAACCTGCACAAATATACGGGGTGATGCATTTGAAATTTTTGAGAAAAACTATAATTTGCGTTTTTGAACACCCTGTATGAGCAAAAATAAAAATTCGAAAAAATAACAAATAACATAAAAGCTGAGATGTGTAAGTTTTTTTTGATATACAATTTCGCACGCAAAATTTCAAAATGACGGACTGAGGGGTAGCCGAATTGGGGGGTTTTTATAGACAGAACCCCTTATATCTCTGTAGCTAATTACCAAAACCCCATAGTATTTTATATCAATTTTTTTCTTTTGAATTGGTTTATTCAAATATGCAATAAAATTTGAGGCATTCCATTTGAAAAATCACACGATATTTTAGAAATGTGCCCTCAAATGTCATGTATAACATACCATAAATAGATTTTCCCAAAATGTATTTGTTTATTAGTAATATTCCGTCCACACATGGATGGGCCACCCTGTGTATATATATACTCGTATATAGCGTGTTCCATCCGTTCCTTCTTTTTTTTAATAAAAAAACATACTTTTTATGAGCCGATTGAAAATTGTAGGTCTTTGCCATTTCTGTATGGAATATAACGTCGCACATATGTCCACCGCGGCTCCATTGACATGCCATCAACCGAACATCAAAATTTTCGATGACTTTTGTAGTATTAGCGGATCCACGGCCACAATTTCGCTGCGAATCTTGCGCTTAAGGTCTTGAATCGTGCGTGGGGCAGTCGCGTACACTTTACCGTTCAAAAATACCCAGAGAAAATAGTCCAATGGCGTTAAGTCGCACGATCTTGGAGGCCAATTCACGTCGGAATTTCTCAAAATAATGCGATCTGGAAATTTCTCGGCCAATAACTGGATTGTTTGGCGGGTTGAGTGCAATGTTGCACCACCTGCCAATTTCGGCCAAAAAAAAATCCGTTATCATACCACGATAACATTCGAAATACTCGAAACAGAACGGTCCAACATGATGGCACCAGCCCATAATTCGCACCAAACAGTTACTTTTTGATCATGGAGAGGTTGTTCATGGATCCCGTGTGGATTTTCCGAACCCCAAATCCTACAGTTTTGCTTATTGACGTGGCCACTGAGGTAGAAATGTGTCTCGTCTAAAAAAATGATTTTAGTCTCCTTTTTCAAGCATCCAGTTAACAAAAATACACCGTACCAAATTCATCACGAAGTCTGCGAAAAGTACTTTTTAAAGATCGTCCGTTTTCGTAATATTTTTGGATGACCAAAATGTGTTCTTGCGTTGTTAAAGAATCCATAATAACAAATAGCAGACCTCTGACAGTTCATGTGTGCTAAACACATGGCAGTTGACACATTTAACACGTCAAAAGATGGTAGTGTAAGTGTAACCTGAGGAAACGAAAATGGACAGGGAAAACAATCACACACGAAGTTCAGAGCAAGAACCAACCTACACATTGTAGTATAAAATAGCTAGAAGACCCCAAATTTTCGAGGCGACATCTAACCACAACCACGCGGCAGGTTATAGCCGCTTGCTGCGGTACTTCCAGCCCAAAGGATCTACAAAGAGAAAATGATCATGCGGAGAAAGGTAAATAACAAAAAATCCGGATGTATGGGTATGTGTATCTACTTTTGTAATTGCATATGTGCATTCATTATGGGCCTGATGCAGCCAGACAGCAGAAATACGTATTGCTCGGGTTACCTTTTTTATTTCCTGCTAGAATGCAGTTTCCTTCTTTTTGCGGATTTTGCCCATTATTTTCCTATTTCTTGTTATATACCTTTCTCCGCATGATCATTTTTTCCTTGTAGATCCTCTGGGCTTGAAGTACCACAGCAAGTGGCTATAACCGGCCGCGTAGTTGTGGTTAGATATCGCCTTGAAAATTCGAGGTCTTCTAGCCATTTTATACTACAAAGTGCAGGTTGGTTAAAATTAATTCGTCAAAATATAATGGCAAAAAGGTGCTTAAAAATGGGCAAATGAATACGGAAACATTGCCTGTCTGTGGATTATATAATCTCACTAACTGACAAAAATCATACATACATGATATAACAAATGTAACTAGTCCTAAAGAGTATATGCATAATTTTGAATGTTGAGGTTTTAATTTTGTAGATAATTATGTACGATCGTTCGCTCACCACAAACCCAATATTTCAATGTTTGTCTAAAATTCCAAATTTGAGTGTCCTTACTTTGTTAGCTGCTGTGTTATATAATTTACATGTTAAGAATTGGAATGATTTTTTTAATAATGTTTTGTGCGGCCTAGAGTCGTTTTTGTGTTATTTGAAAGCTAAGAGTTTTCATGTTTAGGATGACATTCGTATACATGTTATGCATCCCCCATTGATAGAAAAAATGCCTGACATTCCAGTTTCACATACAAGACAACTTGTGTCAGAACAGCTTCTAAGCAATTTATAATACTTAATACCCTTTCTGTTTAGGATTTGTAGACAATTTAGACGTTTCAGAAGTTTAACTTCGGACTTCTAATGTCTACACAATTTTTGAGATCACAACGTTTCGGTTGATAAATTATCTTCAATCGTCTTTAGGTGTTCTTTCCACCGCTATTTATACTTTTATCAATCGAAACGATGTGATCTCAAAAATTTTATAGACAATGTTAGTCCGAAATAAAACTTTTCTAATATTTCTGTTTTTCTCACCAATAAGGGGAAGCAGTTTCACACTTGCGGAACCGTCGAGATTATCAAGCTGTCTCCCTCTCTCTGAATGATTTATT